GATATATATATATATCTAGACTATCTATCGATATATATATAATATACTATATCATATCTAGGGTGACCGTGTACTGGGTCAGCTCGGCACGTCATAGTACTGCTGCTTGAGAGCCAGCAGCAGCTGCAGGGGTGGAGTAAGCAGGGCCGTGATGACAGGCAGGCTGTAGTACTGCAGGTAGTACGCGACGTCCTTCACCGGCACGACGCCGACGACGTAGAGGGCGCTGCGGCGGAACGCGCGCGTGCGCCAGTAGCTCAGCACGTCCCTGTACGCGTCCAGCCGGAGAGGCCTGCTCACCAGCTCCACCTGGTGGGAGAAAAATGAAGATATGCTCGAAGATGGATCGGAGAGTATGATGTACGTTGTTATGGTTTTTTATTTCGTCTGAGGTGACGCGATGACGCTGGTGTCTCTCCGTCCTTCCTCTGATATCATCACATATCATATATTATCACATATCACATATCATTCTCTCCTTCCATCATTTCATCATGCCTCTCGTTCCTCTGTCATCCATCCGTCTGCCCGTTCATTCGTTGGGCGTCAATGATAGTTGGACAAATCTAAACTGCTCGACGTTTTACTAAGAGGCACGAATTGATTAGCGCATCACACTAACAGCTAATTATACCTTATTAGCTATAGATCCTTTAGCTCTAGATCTTTCAAGATCTTTAAGCTCTATATACCTTATTAGCTCTAGATCCTTTGGCGCTAGATTTTTCTAGATCTTTTCGCTCTAAATAACTTATTAAGCCCGGCGCACACGTGAGTTATTTTACTCAAGTAAAATGAAGCATGAGTCATTTTACTCACGTGTGCGGCAGATTTTCGTTGAGTAATTTGACGCATGCGTCATTTTACTCACGTGTGCGGTAGATTTTCGTTGAGTAATTTGACGCATGAGTCATTTTACTCACGTGTGCGGCAGATTTTCGTTGAGTAATTTGACGCATGCGTCATTTTACTCACGTGTGCGGCGGATTTTTGTTGAGTAATTTGACTCATGCGTCATTTTACTTGAGTAAAATAACTCACGTGTGCGCCGGGCTTTAGCTCTAGGTATTATTAGCTCTTGATCACACGTTTCTTTATTATGGTTCATTCGTCATCCTCCACTACGATTCGCGTTTGCAAACACCACCCGGCGTGCACGCTCGCGATCGCGCGTGAATACTCGGCGAATTCGTGCATGAATTCTCGGTGAATTAGTGTGCGAATTCTTGGCGAACCCGTGCGTGAATTCTCGGCGAATTCGTGCGTGAATTCTCGGCGAATTCGTGCGTGAATTCTCAACGAATTCGTGCGTGAATTCTCGGCGAATTTGTGCGTGAATTCTCGGCGAATTCGTGTGTGAATTCTCGGCGAATTCGTGCGTGAATTCGTGCGTGAATTCTCAGTGAATTCGTGCGTGAATTCGTGCGCGAATTCTCGGCAAACCAGTGCGTGAATTCTCGGGTGTGTGTGTATGTATATACGTACCATCTCCTCGTTCAGCTGGTGTACGTTGTTCTCTATGGCCAGCTCTAGCTGCTGGGCTAGCATGAGCAAGCGTAGACACAGACACGTGTAGACGGACATGACTGCCAGCAGACACACCCTGGTGGAGAGACATTCACAGACGATATATGGTAAAAACAGAGGGTTAATAATGACAAATTC